GAAAGTTCCTCTTTTTCCATGTTTTTTTTCTCAGGGGATTAATTGATCCAGCTGGAATTTTGGAAAAAGTGGGAGAACCTCTCCAAATGGATGAATCCAATTTTTTTTTTTTTTTTTTTTTTAATCCCTGTTTTTTTTCCCTCTTAGAATTGTTGGAGGAATTTTGTCCCCTGGTGGAAAGGCTGGGCTTGGATGAGAATTTTGTGGATATCACGGAGCTGGTGGGGAAAAGGCTCCAGCAGCTGGAATTTGGTCATTCCCAAATCCAAGCGTGCGGCCACATCTACAACCAGCAAGGTGAGTCCAACATTCCCATTTTTTCCAGGAAAAAAAAAAAAAAAAAAAAGGGAATAATCTGATTTTTTTGCTCAATTTTTCCCAATTTTTTTTTTTTTTAGGGATTAATTTACAGGATCCACGCCACCTCCAACTCATCCTGGGCTCCCAAGTGGCTCAGGAATTCCGGAATTCCCTAAAAAGCCGGCTGGGCCTCACCGGTTGCGCCGGGGTGGCTCCCAGTAAATTATTGGCCAAACTGGTCTCGGGCACCTTCAAACCCGACCAGCAAACGCTGCTTCTCCCGGAAAACCACCAGGATTTGTTATCCAGCTTGGAGCACATCCAAAAACTCCCAGGTGAGCTTTCAAAATTCCTGGAAAATCTCTCGGTTGAGTGGGTTTGTTTTTGGTTTTTTTTTTGGGAATTTGATGGATTTCTCAATTCCAGGGATCGGCCACCGGACGAGCCAACGCTTGGAATCGTTGGGAATCAGGACGGTGAGGGAGCTCCAGGATTTTCCAAGGGTTCTTTTGGAGAAGGAATTCGGTTTTTCCACGGCTCAGAAACTCCGGAAAATCAGCTCGGGGGAAGATGATTCGCCGGTGATTCCTTCGGGACCTCCCCAGGTACCAAAAATCCTGATTTTCCCAGGGGGATTTTCCAGCTTTGACTAAGATTTAATGGAATTCGGGAGCCAAACCTGCCATTCCAAGGATTTCTCCTCCTCTTTTTCCAGTCTTTCAGCGACGAAGATTCCTTCCCAAAATGCTCCTCGGAAGCGGAAGCGAAGGAGAAACTCCGCCAGCTCCTTCCCAACGTTTTGGACAGGTGAATATTCCCGAAAGGAATAAACAGGGAGTTCTTTTTTTCTCTGGAAAAACTTCCTAATTGTTGGTTTCTCTTTATTTTTCCACAGGATATCCAAGGATGGGCGGCGACCCCACACCGTGAGGTTGAGTATCCGGAGGTTTTCCAGCCGGGATCGAGGGATCCAGCGGGAAAGCCGGCAGTGTCCCATCCCGTCCCACCTCATTCCCAAATTTGGGAAGGGTAAGACTTCCCTTCAGGGTTTTTTTTTTGGGATAAACCAGCTTCTGGAATTTGGGAATTCCACCAGGGAAGCGACCTTTTAATTCCTTAATGGAATCCTGGAATTCCGTCGATCGGCCCAACGGAATTCCCAAATTTCAATTCCCGCTTTTCCTGGCATTGGAAGGGATTCCTAATCCCCAAAAAATCCCTTTGGAATTCCTGCTCTGGGAGCAAATTTCCCCCTTGGAAAAAAAAAAAAAAACCCTAAACCAAAACTCCCCCTTTGGATTTGATCCCGAATTTAATCTCCCAATTTTCTCCCAAATCTTCAACCAATCCCTTCCCGATTTTCCTTCCATCCATGGATTTTTTTTCCCAATTTTTTTCCCTCAGGAAATTCCACCCTCATCCCCCCTCTCCTCGAGATCCTGATGAAACTCCTGGGCAAAATGATCCCTCTGGAATTCCCATTCCATCTCACCCTGCTGAGCGTCAGCTTTTCCAACCTGAAGGAAATTCCCAACCGGAAAAATTCCATCAGTTTCTACCTGAAACCCTCGACTTCCAAGGTGAGTGGGGGAGAAAAAATTGGGAAGAAAGGGCTGGAAAATCTGGGAATTCTTGGTTATTCCACCTGGCTTGGAAGGGATTTGAAGGATCAGGTTGTTCCAAACCCAGCCCAGAAGTTTTTAGGGATTTGGGAATCTTGGAATGTTTCAAATCAGGAGGGATTTTCAGGATCATTTCCCTCTAAATCCCGGGAATTTTTCCCACTCTCCCAGATTTCCTTATCCCAGAAATTTCATGGAATTTTGTTGCCACAGGAAGAAAAAGAGGGAATTTCCTCAGCGAAAATCCGGAGAATTCCCGAGGAAATTCCACCTTTCCCAGGACCTTCATCCCCAGGAACTTCAGGAATGCCATCCCAAGGAAAACCAGCAGGAATTTTCCCCCCTCCGGGGGTGGATCCCGAAGTTTTCTGGGAGTTGCCCCCGGAATTGCGGGAAGAGGTGGCGGCCGAGTGGAAAAACCGGGAAAAAAACCCTCAAAATTCCCGGGAAAATTCCCAAAAAAACCTCAAAGGGAAGAGGAAAAATCCGGGATCGTCCCAATCCAAGAGTTTGCTGGATTATTGGAAGGGCAGGTGAGAGGATTCCAAGGAAATTCCTGGGAATTCCGAGGGAAAAAGGAGTTTTGGGGATGGTTTTTTTTTTCCCAAGTTTTTTTTTTGGGAATGTTGGGGGAATAAAAGTGTTGGAGTTTGGAATTCTGCAGGTTTTATTCCTAAAAATCCTTAGGAAGTTGGGAATTTCCTTCCTTTTCCCATTTAATGTTGGGCTTGAATTAACATTTAATCTTTGAGCTGGATTAAATGTAATTAAATATGGTAATTAAATAATTAATTGCTTTTAAATTAATTTTAATAAACTGAATTTACCTTGAGAATAATTTAATTTAAAATTAATTTTAATTTTTTTTAAGGAGATAATTTTATCGTATTTATTGTTATTTATTTGTTGTGTGAACTAAATTATTAATAAAGTCAATTTGTTACCTTTAATTGCTGATTGAAATTTATTGAGTTGGTTGAATTGGTGTTCAAAATCATCGCAGTTGGAAATCAGGAAGTTAAAGATAAAATTATTAAATTTATTAATTAGGTACCTAATTATAATGGTTATAATTATTAAATACTTTTAGTAATTATTAATTCAAGTGAATTAATTTTCAATTATGGTAGTAATAATTATGATTTATCACATTAATTATTTAAGTTAACCTGAATTTGAATTATTGAATAAGCGTTCCATTTATCAAATTAAATTCATTAAATATTAAATTTATTCAATTAAACTTACAAAATATTAAAGTTGTTAAATATTAAATTTATTCAATTAAATTCATTAAATTGAGTTCATTAAGTATTAAATTTACTCAATTAAATTCATTAAGTTCATTAAATATTAAATTTATTCAATTAAATTCATTAAATTAAAAATTAAATTTATTAAATTAATAGGCTTAGGAGATTAAGTTGCTTATTAAATTAATATATTTAATAATTTATTAATAATTCTGTTATATGTAAGCATTAAATTTATTCAATATGGGTATATTAAATATTATATTTATTAAATTAAAATAATTCAATTAAATTTATTCCTTTTAAAATCTAATAAATTGAATTTATTAAATTCATTAAATATTAAATTTATTCAATTAAATTCATTAAATTAATAGGGTTAGGAGATTAGGTTTCTCATTAAATTAATATATCTAATAATTTATTAATAATTGAATTCCATTATATATAAGCATTCAATTCATTCAATATGAGTATATTAAATATTACATTTATTAAAATAATTAAATTTATTCCATATTAAATAATGAATTTGAATTTATTAAATTAAATTTCTTGAATTAAATTGATTAAATTAGATTTATTAAAATAATAGGCCTAATGAATTAATGTGCCTCATAAATTAATACACTTAATAATTTAATCCATTAATAATTGAATTTATTACCTTAAATTAATGTCAATTAATTCAAATAAATTAAATTAACCACAACTCTCATTCCAGGGAATTCCTGGAAGGGCAAAAGGAGGAGCTGCCAGCCAGGAAATCCTCGGGAACGAGTCAGGAATGACGTCAGCAATGACGTCAGCAATGACGTCATTGCCGCGGGAATGGGCGAAAATTCCTGCCTCAGGTACCTTTGATCCCAAAAATTTTCCTCTTGGTTGGTTTTCCAGGAATTCTTCCCGTTAATTAAAAGATTGTTGAATTTGATTTTAATGTTTGGTTTATTTTTAGTTTATTTGATTTGAATTTTATTTTGTTTGAGTTTGATTTGAATTTGATTTCATTTCGATTTTATTTGGTTTGGATTTTATTTGATTTGAATTTGATTTGACTTTTAATTTATTTTAATTCTATTTAATTTAACTTTATTTTGACTTTATTCGATTTGAATTTGACTTGATTGTAATTTTATTTTATTTTCATTTGATTTTATTTGAATTTTATTTTTCTTTTTTCATTTTTAAATATTTTATTTAATTCTAATTTAATTTTATTTAAACTTTATTTTATCTGAATTCTATTTTATTTCTATTTTATTTTGAGTTTGATTTAATTTTCGTTTTATCCTGGAATTTTATTTTATTTTCATTTTATTTGATTTTCATACCATTCTTCTTCATTTTAACTGATTTTTAATTTGATTTTATTTTGATTTTATTTTGATTTTATTTCGATTTTTATTTTTATTTTATTTTTATTTTATTTTATTATAATTTTTTAAATTTTATTTAATTTTAATTTAATTTATTTTCACTGTATTCCCCTTTTTCCCCCTTCCTCCTTCTCCTGATTATTGCTGATTATTGCTGATTGTTGCTGATTGTTGCTGATTGTTGCTGATTGTTGCTGATTGTCGCTGATAATTTTCCAATTGCAGCTGAATCCGAACCCGGAAGAGGAATAAAAAAAAAAACCCGGAGCCAAAGTCCAAAGTTTGGGGAATTCCCACCTTTTTTCCCACATTCCCAACCCGGGAATTTTGGGATTCCGGCTCGGGATGAGCCAGAATTTCCAGGAACAAATTCCCACCTTTCAGGTCAGGTCATTTCAATTTTATTGCTTTGGATTTGGATTTTCTTGGAATTTTTTTTTATTATTTTATTTTTCTTCGATTGGAATTTGATTTGGTTTGAATTTTATCTGAATTTTTTAATTTGATTTGATTTGGGGTTTATTTTAATTTTATTTGAATTTTTTAATTTTTTTTTATTTTATTTTGAATTTCTTATTTGAATTTTTTGTTTTATTTTATATTGATTTTTATTTTATTTGAATTTTCTTTTGTTTTTATTTTACTTGACTTTTATTTCAATTTTATTTTATTTGAATTATTTTATTTTATTTGGATTTTTTTTGAATGTGATTTTATTTGAATTTTTTGAATCTATTTTATTTTTAATTTGATTTCATTTGAATTTTTAAATTTTATTTTGTTTTAATTTTATCTGAATTTGAATTTCATTTTATTTGATTTTTTTATTTGATTTGATTTTGATTTTTACTTTTATTTGAATTTGATTTGCTTTGAATTTTATTTGAATTTGATTTTATTTCAATTTGATTTTATTTGAATTTGATTTGGTTTTAATTTTATTTCAATTTGATTTTGTTTGAATTTTTTAATTTTATTTGAATTTGATTTGATTTCAGGTTTATTTTGTTTTAATTTTATTTGAATTTTAATTGAATTTCAGTCTATTTGAATTTTTTTATTTAGTTTTATTTTTATTTTATTTGAACTTAATTTTATTTTAATTTTTTGTTCCATTTTTATTTTATTTGACTTATTTTATTTTATTTTTATTTTTATTTTTATTTTTATTTTTATTTTTATTTTTATTTTATTGGAATTTTATTTTATTGGAATTTTTTTGTTCTATTTTTATTTTATTTGAGTTATTTGATTTGATTTTGATTTTGATTTGATTTGAATTTAATTTTATTTTAATTTTTTTGTTCTATTTTTATTTTATTTGAGTTATTTGATTTGATTTTGATTTTGATTTTATTTGAATTTAATTTTATTTTAATTTTTTGTTCTATTTTTATTTTATTTGAGTTATTTGATTTGATTTTGATTTTGATTTTATTTGAATTTAATTTTATT